GGCTGTTCTAGTTTTAGGGAAATGCGAAGTTTAGCTCAGGATAGGAAAGAGTGGAGGTACGTGTCCAACCAGTCTTAGGACTGATGACCTTATGATGATGATGATGAAACAATCAAATATTGGTATGCAAGGGAAGAAAAAGTAGGAAATGAGCGAATATAAAAATAGGAGACGAAACATTAGAAGAAGTGGCTGATTTTAGATATCTAGAAAGTCAAATAAGTCAGGACGGAAGTAGTAGGGATATAAAGCAGAGGATAGCGCAGGGTCGAGTCGCCTTCAATAAAAAGAAGTCACTTCTATGCTCGCGAACTGTTAATTTAGAAATTCAAAAATGATTTTTAAAGGTGTATGTTTAGGACACGGCGCTGTACGGGAGCGAAACATGAACGGTGAGCGCGGCAGAAAAGAAAAGGTTAGAAGTGTTCGAAATGTGGTATTACAGGCAAATGATGAGGATACCGTGTATAGAGAAGGTTATAAATGAAGAGGTAGTAGAAAGAATAGAACAAAGGACTCTATGGAAGTCAATAAGAAATAAGCAAGATAGGTTGGTAGGATATCTTCTCAGGTATGAAGGTCTAGTCAAAGATATATTAGAGTCAGAAACAGGAGTTAAGAGTAGTAGAGGTAGACCTAAATTAGATTACTACTGAGGAGGTAGGTTGTTTCAGTTTTGCGGAAATGCGAAAATTAGCTTAGGAAAGGAAAGAGTAGGGCTGCATATCCAACCAGTTTTAGAATTGACGACTTTATGATGATAACTTACTTGAAGTGTGATGTTTGGTTTTGTTAATTTGGTCTTTATCGGAAGTAGGCGAATCTATGTCGGAAAGTACGATGCTTTCATGTCTGTCTAATAAGTGATCGTGAGGGACTTCACTTCCAAAATTCTTCCCAAAAATATTTCTTTTGTCCAAATCCTTTTTTGTGCTCAAATCTATTAATGGCAAAAACAAATTACTTCTTAAAAAACATTATCGAATATTCGTTAAAGTAAAAAAAAAAAACAATAATTTAAGAAATTTTATGTTGTAATACAGTTTATGTACTTTCTACCTAAACAGCATTTTAGGGGTAACTTACTTGAAATGTGATGTTCTCTGGTTTTGTTAATTTGGTCATTATCGGAAGTAGGCGAATCTATATCGGAAAGTATGATGTTTTCATTTCTGCTTGAATTTTTCTTTTTTAAAGCATTCAATAAATTATTCTGAGGGATTTCATTTCCAAAAATCTGTCCAAAGAAACTTCTTTTGTCTGGTTCCTTTTTTGTGTTCAAATCTGTTTGTAGTAAAAACAAATAATTAGTAGTTGTAGGCGTTACTTGTTGAAACTTCATAATCGAACATTAAATAAAAAAGAACAAAAGCATTAATTTTGTCATTTTTTTTTTGTTGTAATATGGTATACTTTTCATCTGAACTAGTTTTTTAGGGCGTAATTTACTTGAAGTGTTATGTTCTCTGGTTCTATTTATTTGGTCTTTGCCGGAAGTAGGCGAATCTAAAACGTTTTCTTCATTTCTGTTTGAATTTTCATTACTCTTCTTGGAAGGCTGCAATAAATTATCCTGCGGGACACTTCCAAAAATTTGTCCGAAGAAACTTGTTTTGTCCGATTCCTTTTTTGTAGTCAGATCTATTTTTAATAAAAACAAATTTATTTTTTTGTAGTGTATTGCATATTTATTATTGAATATAGGCACTTGGCTATTGAAGATGAAGTACTTTTTGGGGTCAAAAGACTGTGGTCCATATGATTGTTGTCCCGACGATTCGTAGATTTTCAAGGGCGATTTTGTAGGCGTCTTACTGAGACTGAAATTCATAGTTTTACAGCAGAGCAGATACTTATGGAACTTAGCCGTTTAACTCAAAAAGTACTCCATCTTCAATGAAATACTCACTTTCACTTCTTTTTTTCATAGAATTAAATGTGTCATAGTTTTCAGGAAAAGCATCCATCCCATTATCATTATTGTCTCCTAGATATTTCTGCACATCTTTATCTACCTTATCAATAAGTGATTGTAGGCTGTCAGTTTCCACTATTATATTATTGCAGTCCATTTCATTTACAGTCAGATTTATGTTTCTATTAGGTTTGTTTTGTTTTTTGGTTTTTGTTTCTTTGGATATTTTGCCGTTCTTTTGTGGTACTTCCTTATTTATTTCAAGGCATTTGTTAGGTTCCTTTAGCGATTTATCATCTTCTCTGGCCAATGCTTCATTGTTTATTAGATCATAGCAACTTTCTACTTTATTTTCTAATTTGTTAGTTACATCTTGTTCAGATTTCTTTATTCTTTTTTTCTTACATGAAAGTTGAATACTTTTATTTACTGTTGACTTGTTGATATTTGAAGGTAGTTTAATTAGCTTTACCACTGGTACTAATAAACCAGAAACTTCCTTTAGATTTTTTGTACTTCCTAACAATCAAATAAAAAGATGATTTACAAAAAAATCAAAATTTAAAATAAAATAATACCTTCCCTTATTTCCTCAAACTGTTGCTTCTCCTTTATTGTAGATGGTTCCTGTTCATTTTTAATATTGCCTTTTAAACTAATTCTTTTCTTTTTTGTAATGACTTCTACATCTTGAGCAGGAGTAGTTGCTTTTTCATTTTCCCATGGAAGACCATCATCACAATCATCTGAATGTTTTGCACATTGCAGATGTCCTTGATAGTCAGGTTTCTTTATGGATACAATATTGCAAGCTTGCACTGAATTTTGTTTCTGGATAGGTGACAAAGAAATGGAACTTTGTGATGATTCAGTTGATTTCCTTTTCCTTATTTTATGAACCGGAGTACTAGCAACTATTTCTTTTTTTTCTCTCACTCCAAAGTGTCGCAATATTTGCGATTTCGTAAAGTTCGGTGGGCGTGAAGTCGGAAAACAATTTACAGGTTTAACCTAAATTTTAAAATAAAAAAAAATGTCTTTAACATTTGAATAACTCACATCATCTAATGGTAGTATTAGAGAATCGCTACTATCCGAACAATCGGATATTCCTGACATGATATCATTTTCACTCATCAGTTCGCAACTAAAAAGAAAAAATATTCAATGTAATATATGTACATAACAAAATGCATTATTTCATTAAAAACAATTTCTTACTTGCGACGGAAATTATTCCTTAGATTTGCCATTTCTTATAGTACTATTATACAGTTAACTATTAAAAGTAAATGTAGAATTTTTAATCGTTTTCCAACTTTTATCGTTAGTTAAAAACTATGCTAATTACTGAAAACCGTTAAATTTAAACCATTCATAGCATTTATTTGACATTTGACATTATTTGACATCAAATGCAAATTTCATTATTTTGTGGTATGTTCGGTTCAATATTGAGAATTAAAAATAGTGATAATGAGTGATAATTTTAATGTTGCCTTATTAAGTCTTTAAAAATTGTTTTACATTTGTAAACGTGTCTTAAAAAAAAACTGTGTTTTATTAATCAATTATGACAGCATAATCAGTAAATACAATTTGTAGTCCGATTTCGAAGATAGAAGTAGAAAGATATTAAAGTAAGTGAATTTTAATATAAACAAGGTTGGTAATTTTTTACATTAGTTGACATCGGAATTGAGACATGAAGTTTAGTCAGGTAGGTAGTACTCACCAAGTAAAGTAGTGTAGTAGTATTTACTAGAATTTTGTTTATTATTTGTTTAAAAATCAATATGAGTGAGATACAGGCCCTTAAAGTTTTCTTAATCGGAGGAAATTCCGGTAGGTACGGCCCTGGCTTCAGCCTTCCGTCAGCTGTTCCCGCCAAACATCGTTTGTCCTAAAACATATCTTCCTAACATTATTCTAATGTATCAGCCCGCCTTCGGCGGGCAGGGGCATTAAACAAACTCGAGTCTGTCATACATCTACCTAACTAAACAATGACGTCATCAATGCATATTTGGCGAGAACAGCTGACGAAGGGCTGCAGCCAGGGCCGTACCAATCGAAATTTCCTCCGATTACATAACTTTAG